CTTATCTAAAGCCACGGTTCATCATTCCAAGACAAATTTTTAAAGGAAATTGAAATTAATTTGAAAATTAAAATATTTATATATATATATATATATATATATATATATAAATTATAATGATATTATATTATTGATATTGTAAATAGAAAAATTTAGTGAACGTGTGTATTATGCGTATGTCTGTTTGTCTCTTTTTCTTTTTTTTTTCATTCTGTGAGTGAGTGTGTGCATATATATATTTTAAAAGACGCGTTTTTAAATTGAACTAAACGAAAATTTGTTCTTTTTTTTTTTCCTTATTTTTTAATATTCTCATTGAAAAAATATATCCCAAAGATTTTGTGACAGGTCAAATAAATATTTTTAATCGTTTCGAAAGAAAATATATTCCATCGTTATTTCATTTCTATTTTATAATAATTTATTAAAATTATTATTTTTATTATTATTATTATTATTATTAATTATTAATTATTATTGTGATTATTTTTTCATTTGTAGATCATTCTTCTTCAACATATGATGATGGATGCCTAATTAACAGGTACGAGAATTTCGTGAAAGTATTCTAGGGAAAAGAAAAAAAGAGGTACAATTCGTTGGAAATCTAAATTTCGATGATTAATTAAACTTTACGATTTTGTAAATTGATTTTCAGATATATATATATATACATCCATCCATCGTCGTGGGAAGAAACAACTAAGAAAATTTTTAATCAACATGGAAGATCAACGATTTCTTCTAAACTCGAAGAAAAAAGAAAATTACGGCATTAAACTTTGTCTATCTATTTTGCTTTTTTTAAATATTTCATTTTCTCTCTCTCTCTCTCTCTCTCTCTCTTATTCAATTCATTCATCTAATCAACGCGGGTCATTCATCTATCGAAGATATTTGTTAATAAAATGATTTTAGCATAAAAAGAAAAAAAAAAGAATAAGAAAAAGGAATCCATCCAACCAATCACCAGCATCGATGACGAAGATGAAATCACAACGAATAAAAAAAAGAAAAATGTGTATACATATATATATATATATATATATATATATATATATATACACATACATACATATATACATTGTTTTTACACACGCTTATTTATGCACTTGCTTTTTTAATCGGGCAAGAGAAGGGTAGATCCGTTGATTTAATATTGTCATTATTATAGTTTGAAATAGTGAAACAAAAAAAGAAAAGTGGAAAAAAAAAAACACAAATTACAAATGATTTTAACTCTTTCACTCTGATGGTCGCATATATATATATATATATATATATATATACATACGTTCCTGAAAAATACACGAATCAAATAGGAAAAAAACAAAACGGTATTCAGCGATGATATTTTTTGTTTCAACCATTCCGGAGCGAAAGGGTTAAAAATGTGTGAACAACTTTAATTAATAATATTTTGTGAACAACTTTAATTAATAATATTAATCACTTTCCCATGTCACGTGTATGTAGAAAAAATGGTTTTTAAAATGAAAATTGGATTAACTTGAAAGATTAAAACGATTGTTTTGTTTTCTTTGTTAATACAGATGGTTTGTTAACGTCACGTTACATCTGCCAACAATGTGGGAGAAGTTACACGATGCTTTGTAATCTTCGCCGTCATATGAGATGGGAATGCGGTGGCAAACGACAATTTCCTTGTTACTACTGCAACAACAATTTCACACAAAAGTCAAGCCTTCAACGTCACCTATCAACCATTCATAAACTCGATATGATTTAAAACAATCCTTCATTAAAATAAAAACAATTCCTTTCAAACAATTCCTTCTTTTTCGTTTTCTTTTTCATTAATTGATTTTGTTAATTATTATTTAATTAATTAATCATAAATATTTATAAATTAGAGAATAAAAGTATTCCTAATTTTCTACAGGATTAACAAACTAATTACCTCGTGTCCCTCTACTAATAATCATAAATTTTTCCTTATCCTTTACGATTTATTTCATTTAATCGTAAATAATATTTGTTAAATATTTTTTTCGTTTATTTTTCAGATCGTAAAACAACCAAATTATTCGTCCAAAAAATAAAAAAAAAATAAAAAGAAAAGAAAATAAATAATTGTAATTAATTAACGAATATATGTAATTATGGTTCGTTGAATCATTTAGGAACTTTCATCGAATTTATTCTGACCAATTTTTTTTTTTTTTATTTTTACTCGATGAAAAAATTACTTGTAAATATTTCAAATAAATATAATAATAGTAATAACAATATAAAAAAAATTATATTTTTCTTTTTGTTGAGAAAAACATTTTCTTTCTTAATATAATTTATAATTATAATTAATAATTATAATGTGATATCATTTTGATTTGTTTCATGTAATTTCTAAGTGTTCAAAAACAGGAATTATAAATAGATAAATCATCCGTCCGAAGATTGACATGAAGAAGATCAAAATATCTCCATGAAAATTTTTCTATGTGACTTTTATTTGCTGGGATACATCAAAATTCGTCTTATTAGAAGAAAAAGAAGAAAAAGAAGAAAAAGAAGAAAAAAGAAGAAGAAAAAGAAGAAGAAGAAGAAGAAGAAGAAAAACTTCATTTTACAAGAAGATTGAAAATATTCCTTCATTGGAAGATCCTTCAAATCTTGGAAGAAAAAATATGTTAACAATTGGAAGATATTTATATTATTCTTCAGTTTCTGTGCAACTAATCAATCACCATTAACAACGAACGAAGATAAAACAAAAATAAGATTACAGTGTTGATCATCATGTTGAAGAATATATATTTTTCGCTTTTTCTCCGATACAAAAGAAGAAAAAAAAACAATTAATTAAATAAAATAATAGTGACACAGTGGAAAATATATAATTTTGTTTTTTCCTTTTTTTTTTCCCGAAGATTTTTGATCAAGTGAAAAATATTAACGAGACTTTATTATTATTATTATTAATATTATTATTGTTGTTTTTGTTATAATTGACGAAAGCAGTAGTGATTTGCAAATTGTGTGAACAACAACAATTAATAACATTTTCATTTATTGTTTTATTTTATTCTCTTTCTTTATATATATTTTATTAATATTATAATCAAGCAGTGTTTGTTTATTAACAACAAAAACGAACTACGGTTTTTTTTTTTATGGATAATTATTAATCGTGAATATGATTTTGTCAACGTATGAAGATTTATGTATACTGGGTGGTATAATTTAAACGAGAACGTTGTTGTAATAAGACGTAAAATTAATAACAACGAAAGGTTCGTACAAAAGTTGTAAGACGTGTACAAACGCGAACAAAGAAAAATTTAAAAAAAAAAGTGTAAAACATGGAGGAACGCCTTACGAGGTATTCCCATTTTAATTATGTTTGCGAGTTGATTTCAAGGTAAAGTGAATTTTTTTTTCTTTTTTTTTCTTTTTCTTATAATAATCCTGTTTTTTTTTTGTGTTTTATTTTTTATCCAATTTAATTCTTAGTTATGGCAGTAGATGTTGAAATAAATTATTTTTAATTATTCGCTTTATCATTTTCATTTACATGTATTATGGTTAGAATGGGGAAAAAAAAAAATAAAAAAGGATCTCGTTTAAATAAGACACCTTGTACATACATAACGTACCACTTGCGTTATAAAAAACTTCAAGATATTATTATTAYTATTCAACATTATTATTTCAAAATCCTACAAATAATTCTTTCTTTTTCGTTTATTTAATTGAAACAAAACAATTGTGTCCCATTAATTATCCTACTTCTCATTTTCATTCTTTTTAATCATTTTAAGATTATTAAATTAAGAAATAAATGAAATGACATTAAAGCAGTATTGATTTAAATTATTTTTTATAATTATAATAATATTTCGACTAAAAAAGTTATAATATATTGAAAATAATTTTAATAACGTTTATATTAAAATCTTCTAATTATTATATTTTTATCAAACATATTTTCATTCTCTATCTCTATCTCTCTCATAACTTTTCTTTTTTTATTTTAAATATTACTTTACCTCTACCTGTAATTAAATCTTTCCGATCGATTTCTTGAATATTTTTTACCAAGGATTTTTTTTTGCAAAAATCATCGGTTGCGTCAGGGTTTATTATTTCATATTTCAATAAAAATTGTTGCTTCTACCCGTCGAATAAATATATTAATAATAATTTGTTTGTTTTTTTTTTTGGAAAAATATTATTATAGGTTTTTTGATCAAACATACGTGAAAATAAAAAAGAAATTAATTCTAACAATTTATTTATAAAAATTATATAAAATAACGATTGGAAAGAATTAATGTTAAACCTCAGTTTATACTTCTTGGAAGATTGATCCTGCATTTAACAAAGTAGTACGTATTATATTATTTATAAATAGATATACATATATCTATTTCTCTCTCTTTCTCTCTCTCTCTCTCTGTCTCTCTTACTTATATTAAGAATCTTATCTTATTTTCTTCTTCAATAAGAGAAATAAAAATCCGGTGATCACGAGATCTCCCAACTTTATATCTTCTTATCTTTTATTATTATTAATATGATTATTACAATAATTATTATTATTACTAATATTAGATGAATAATAATCTATTCTTGAATCTAACATACGTACGTAAAAAAAAAAAAAAAAATAATAAAACATCTTTCCGTTTTTGTTTAAACGAGAAGAAAAAAAATAGCATTTCTTTGCTTTTTTTTGTTTTTTTTTTTTTAATTTTTTTTTTCTTCTTCAATCTACAACTTTCTTTAATTAAAACTGAATTTCTACGTATATGTAATATAATATATGTATAATTGAATTTGTTCTCTATATATGTGTTATATATATGTAAAAATGAAGTTTTTACTTAAAATGACTTTATTAAAAAAGTAAATGTTTGTTCTCGATATATTATTTCAGATTACATCAAATGCAAAACGGACAAGCCTTATTTGTGTTCAAGATGTTTCAAGGGTTTCACTCACATCTATTCGATGAAACGTCATCAAAAAACCGTATGCGGTAAGATAAGAAATACCAACGGCAAATACAAATGCAGGTGTGGAAGATCTTACGCTACTGATGGAAATTTGGTACGCCATATTAAAAACGAATGCGGAGTTGAAAGAAAATTTTATTGTTACTTTTGTCACGGAAGGTTCACGCAAAATTGTAGTCGCATAAGACATTTGAAAAAATTTCACAAGGAACAATTTCAAAATTTGTTGAAAACTCAACGGTTCAGTTAGCTTACACTTTTTTTCTTTCTTTTCTTTTCTCCCCAATCAACCATACATTATTATTATTATTATTATTATTATTACTGGTAAGGGAAGGGGGTATGAAATAATTGTAATAATAATAATAATACAATTGTGTCGATAGAAATTTGTTTTTATTTTATCAATTTTTCGATGTTAAATATTGGGTGATGTATCACTCAATTCGAATTGGCTCGATATTATTCTAAAACTAATTTTAATGTTTCAAAGTAAATAATTAGCTCTCTGTACCATTTTTTATAACTTGTTATTGTCGTTTTTAAATATTAAATATTTGACATATCGTCGAAATAAAAAATTATTTGCCGAGACTTCGTGTCATAATCGGGTTTAAAAAAGAAAGAAAGAAAAAAAAAGACGACGAATCAATTTGTACACCTGATATAATTTAACTTATTTGTTAAAGTAATTTCATTATTGTTAGTCAACGTTAGTAGATAAATTAATATTTTAAATAATGAATTTTGAAGTGTTTCAGGATGTAAAGTTTGGGGACTATAGGTGTAAAAATGACTACAGAAATGACTTTTCTGGAAACAATTCAAATATCTTTCAATAAAAATTCAATTGATGTTGGGGGGAGGTGGGTGGAAAGGGGAGCAGGTTGACACAGGTCTATAATTTAAACTTAAATAAATAACGGGTAGAAATAATATTATTTGGGAATTATTCGGGATATTTTATTAGGGATTAAAGATTTTTTTCTGTGTTTTTTTTTTTTTTAAGATATATATATATGATTATATACATATATATATATATAAAAGAATATCTTTTTTTATTCTTGTGTTGATTACTTTTTGTTTTTTTTTTGTTTTTTCTAATTTTAATTTTTTTTGTTTGTTTCTGTTTTTTCTTTTTCTTTTTTATTAATAATAATAATAATCATTTACAACAGGGTTGAGCAACCTTTTGTCTATCCAAATTTTGAAATTTTTTGGCAGGCCAAAATCACACTTCTTTAATAGTATTTAAAATGGACAAGCATGGACACATCGCAATCATATTGCATGTTGCAACAAGTTGCATTAATTTGGTAGAACTTAATATATTAGCGGGAGGAATATCTGTAATATAAATAAACGTTTAGCGGGCCTCATGCGGCCCACAGGGCGTGGGTTGCTCATCCCTGATTTACAGAAATGGTTTACAACTGAGAACTGAAGCGAAGTACGCGAGTTTAATGGATTATTATTGGCAGCTACGATTTTATGTTTTTGTTTGTTTGTTTTTTTATTTTTGGTTCATCTTCGTTTTTAATAACCAAAGTGATGTAATAATACATTTTGACGCTTACGTTGGTTATTTGAAATTAAAAAAAAAAAACAAAGTACAATGATTTAATCTAGGAAAAAAAAAGAAAATTTTCATGCACCAATATATACATCATCTTGTTTCACATTTTAATATTATTATTATTATTATTTTTTTTTTTTTTACTATTATTATTGTTATTATTATTAGCATCATTTTTTTCTCTTTTATTTTATACACGTTTGTTTCTCTTCGTTATCAGCGCCTTCGATGTCATCGATCACGTTCATTGTCTTTTTCTTTTTATTTGATTTCTTTTTGATAACAAATTTTTCTAACGTTATTATTATTGTTATTGTTATTATTATTATTATTATTAGAATTATTATTAGAATTATTATTATTATTATTATTAAATGGACACTAGGAACTCAAAAGTTCATTACCAAAATATTCCCAACCCTCCTACCTTTGGAATTTGTCATCCTTGTGTCAGTTGTCTATTTTAGTTGTAAATCTTATTTTAATAATATCTAATAAACGTTATTGTTATATTTTTTATTAAATATTAATTTGCAACAAAGATAAGAAAAAAAATGAAAAGAAAAAGAAATAAACAAATCGTATATCACTGATATTAAATATTTCGATGACGTGCCTTAATTATTCGATAATTTATGTAAAATATTGTTATTATTAGGGTTAAGATTATTATCATTATCATTATCTTCATCATCATCATCATCATCATCATCATTGTAGGATTAAATTTGATTGCAATTTAATATGTGTGATGTAACGAATATCTAAGTTAATAATAAACTTTATAAATTAATACAATTATTTCAATAATACACGCAACTCATTATAATCTTCGAGGCTCTCGTAAAATGTTCTTCTAATTATACATGCACACATATACATACGTACAAACAAACGTGCAACTCAATTCGCTAGTTTTTTCACCTTGTTACCCTTTGATCATCTAAGTTCATTTGCCGATTCTTTTTTTTTTTTTTAAATAAACCTCTCATTAAACAACACACACACACACACACACATGAGTGCTTGCATAATAATAATCTTTAAATAAATATTCCACTATTGTTTCAAAAGCAAATGTGTGAAGAGGACAAACAGGGACGTATCAAACAAAAGTAGATTAAAAGTAAAACTCTTGATGATGATACTATTAGGCTGATTAGGCTGTTATTATTAATTAGAAAAATAAAAAGAAGAAGAAGGGAAAAAAAATAGGAAAAATTATTAGTAAAATTAATATTAACACATTCGCGACCGCTGACGTGAATTCACGTCAGTTGTAAATTTTAAAAATTTAATATAAATAAATTTGTATATAATATTTAAATAATTATATTTTATTATTTTATATTATTATTATATTTTATTATTTAAATATAAATTTAAATAATTCATAATTTTTGCCAGTACTCATTGTGAATATTAAAAAAAGGAAAAAATATGCCAGTCGCGAATGTGTTAAATTGGACAAAAATTTGTGATATCCTAGTTGTTAATTTGAATGAAAAATACAATTTTGTATATTAACCAAAAAAAGAAAAAGCAGTATTAGAAAATGAAAAATAAACAAAGAATAAAAAACAAAATTATTAGATTTATTCGATAAAAAAAAAATGTTTAATTAAAATATATGTCTCGTATAATATTATATAATTCATATTGTATGTATGATAAGTTTAAATTAATGAAAATAATGAATAGAACGTTATCGAGAACGAATGTTATTATTTTAATACATATGTTATTTTAATGTGAAACTATTTTTAATATGTTTTGTTACGACGTTGATGATGGGTGCTGAAAAGTTGACAAATTGTAAAAATTATTTTTCTTTTCTTTTTTATTATTTTTTTTTTTTTCTTAATTAAAAAGACGAAAGAACAACGAAAATAAATATATACATAAAAAAAAAAAGAAAATTAAGATAATAATAATAATAATCGTACTGAAATTCAATGGTACAAATTAATAATCTAATTTGTTGTTTTGTATTAATATGAAATGTTTTTTTTTGTGTGTGTGTTATATTTAAAACAAATTTCTAACTCTGTCGCGTGCTTTGTCTCTTTTATTTGTTTTTGTTTTTAATTTGAATATTGTATGTATGCGTGTATTATTTTGTATGCGAAAATAAAAATTAAAAAAAAAAAAAAAGGTGAGAAAGAAAGAAAGAAAGAACGAACGAACGAATATTATAGAATGAATAATTATATCAATATAAGCGTTGTTTTATCTTGTAATAATAATTGTTTATCATTAATAAGACGGTGATGGTAGTTGTGTAAAAATTTTAAGAAATTCAATTTCTTTTTATCGTTTTTTTTTCTTTTATCTCCCTCTATTTCTCTCTCTCTCTCTCTATCTATCTATCTATCTATCTATCTATCTATCTATCTATCTATTCTCTCTGTCCAAAGTACAATTAGTAAACGTCATTAAATTTTATTATAAATCTATGTAAATGAATTATCAAATAAATATGTATATATGTATATACATATGCAAACACACTCGCGTGTAAGCAGATATATAAAATAATAAAAATATCGAGGAAATAACGTATACACACACACGCGCGCACATATTACATACGTATATACGTGCACAAACGCAAACACGGATATAGATACAAACGTTAGAAATAATTTTAAATTGTTTAATATTAATAAAAATATTATTATATCGAGATAAAAATTAAATGTAAAATAAAAAACAAACAAAAAAAAAGCAACAGAACGAAAATAAGTGTGTTAATTTTATAAACAAACACAAGCATGATACAACGTTTTTTTTGTTAAATATTGTTTCAGCAAATAAAGAATTACTCTATTCCAATCAACTGCCAACCAACATAAGGAGAAAATGCAAGGAAACCCTGAGATGTTGCAAATGTTCGAGACGTTTGAGTAATTGGAAGAATTTGGCGAGACACATGAACTACTTCTGTCAAATGGAACCGCAAATAACGTGTCCTTATTGTCCCCATAAATCAAAAACTACAACTCAACTCAACCATCACGCAATGCGCCATCACGGTGTTCTATTATTTAGGGTAATGACAAACGAGAGGCTATTTTAGTTTTTTTGTTTATTTTTTGTTTTGTTTTTTTTTTTTTTTTAATTAAACTTAAAAAATCTATCTATTTATTCTTTTTTCTTTTCTGGATCATCGATTGGTATATAAAAATATACGGTAAAAAAAAAATGTTAACGTTTAAACGCAAATATAACATCGTCGATCAAAATTTGTTTAAAGTATTTTTTTGTCAGGTTATCTCTCAATTAATTGAAAAATCGTGAAAAAAGTTATATGTTTGAGACACCCTGCATATATTGTATATACTGTTCGTAATACTAATACTATAACTTGTGAAATTGTTTTTTTTTTTTTTTTTTAGGGGAAAAATGATAACTAAGCAATTGGAAGAATGTTTGGAATTGAAATATTTCGAAAGACTCGACGAATTTCATTTGTTCAAAATGTTACAAAGGATGTACGAGAAGAAAATGTCTTCGTTGTCGTACAAATTATTATTGGATGCGGTACACCAGTGAACATGTTCAATTGCAACATTTGCGAATCTAGGGCAAGCAGAAAGAACATTGTATTGACGCACCTGAGACATGAGAGAAAATTATACCAAAGACAAATCCTACAATAATGAAATATTTACAATACATTTTTTCACATATTTTGGGTAGAATTTTGTCTTTTATTTTATATTTGTTTAGTTTGTTAATTTTTTTTTTTTTTCTTGGCACCGTCTTTCAACAAATAATTACCACCACAACCCTTGTATACTCTCGTGTACTCCCGTAAATTGAATTGTTCATATACTAGAGAACACTTTAAAATAAATCTCTTTTTCGATTTACATATATACAGTGTATCCAAAGTTATCTCGTACAACACGTTGAACATCCTGTATACATTAGTATTCAGTATTTATACATAATTGCATTTATATATATACGTGTGTGTATGTATATATAATATATGATATATTTTATATAAATAAAAAAAGAAATATTATATAATTTTTTTTTTTATATAGTTTTTGTTACATATATGTTATATGATATAACATATATTCGCGCGCGACGATGATTTATATTATAATAAGAATAATTGTAATAATTTATAATAAAAATAAAATCATCAGGAAAATTTCTTAATAACTTGTTAGAGACACATGCACACATACACACACACACACACACACACACACACACACACACACACANTACACACACACACACACACACACACACACACACACACACACATACACACACACACAACACACAGAGTATACACAAAAATATATATAATAAATTTACTAATTGATTAATATTCTTCTTTATTTTTCTTTTAAAACATATAATTTATATATAAGTCGAACGTATTAAACGTAAGGAAAAAAAAAAAAATGTTGTAATCGTTTTTGTTACAGAAGACGGTTGGAATCATATTGTTACAAAAGACTACCATCATCATGGTTATTATCGGCTGAGTGATGAAGATACCAACGCGAAAAATCATCCAACGAACGAATTGTTAGACGAATATGATCCAATTCAAGATAACAATGATAATGTCAATGACGGGGTTGATGATAACAACGATAACAATCCCATAAACAATAGATACGTTTGCGATTTTTGTTGCAAAAGATATTCCTTAAACGGTTTAAAAAAGCACATGCAAACTGGTTGTAAGAAAAATCCAAAGAACAATAGTGCATGTTACAATTGTAAATATTGCGGTTATACAAGTGTGTACAAAGCTAACATGGAAAGACACGTTAGAAATATTCACGATCTTGTAAATGATAGAGTACGTTGCGAATTATGCAATTTTTCTAGCAATTACACATTTTGCGTTAGGAGACACATGAAAACATTTCATCGCAAATAATAATAATAATAATAATAATAATAATAATAATAATAATAATAATAATAATAATCATTAAAATAATATAAAATAAATGTGTAAAATTGTTGTAAAACAACAACCATGATGTTGGTTGGCCTTTTTATTTTTTTTATTTTGATAGTATTATATCAAATATATTTTTTCTATTACTTTTTTTTTTTCTTTTATTTTATCTGCAAGCCTTGTCAAAAGTATTAAAATATTAATGAAAATTATTTGATACTCGTGATTTATGTGTATTCAATTCTACGTTCTTATGGAACGATATTATGTTTTATTTATATAAATACGATTATATAAATTATTATGCACAATTACGATATGTCATCAGAAATATTATTTCAAATAATTCATTCCAAATTGAATTTAATTCAATAATATGTATATCGATATATTTAATTCATATACAAAACAAAATGAAAATAGAACAATAATATTTCGATATAAAGATATATAGAAGTGTAAATTATAATAATAATCATAATAATCATAATAATAATAACAATTATATATATATATATATGAACATACACACACGTCAAGGAAAATTTATTATATTATCGTTAATTTTTTAATAAGTCTGACGACAATTTTGTAATTCCTTTGTTTTTTTTTTTTTTTTTTTAAGGAGATGATTTTTCCTTTTTCATTTGCAACATAATAAGTAAAGCAAAAAAAAAAACGTTTATGGTGTTTGTTTTAAAAATATTTCTTTATTTTTATATTTTATTTTTTTTATTTTTCTTTTTGTTACCTGCAACTCCCCTTATTATATTTCATTTGATTTCATTTGATTTACGTTATCATTTTGCTTAATTCGTTTTGTTTTAACAAATATATTTGATTTTATTGTTTCAGTTGATTCAAAATCATGGCAGACGACTAATAACAACGAGGATATTCGAATGTATACGTTAGATACAATGGTGACGATGAACAACAACAATCAACCTATGCATCATCATCATCATCATCCACAACAACAACAACAACAACAACAACAACAACAACAACAACAACAACAACAACAACAACAACAACAACAACAACTACTACAACAACAACAATATACTTATCCTCAACAATCTAATAACGACAACAACGATCATCATGGAAATTTTCATCAATTAATTCAAAGAGACGATCAGAACAATAAAGGCAACGATAATAAATCGTTCGTTTGTGAAATTTGTGGAAAAAGTTACGCCGTTGCTAGATCATTGTGGAGGCATAGAAAATTCGAATGCCTTTATTCGAAACCGAAATTTGTATGCGACTATTGTCCTTACAGTAGTCCCTATCAATGGCGCATAGTAATTCACAGAAACAAACGTCACCTTCATTACGTTCATCAAACCGAAGACGCGTCCATTTAAGTATACAAAATCTTAAATGTTGATTTTTTACTTGGTTTCCATTTCCCACGCCTTCTTTTCTTCTTATTTTTATTTTTATTTTTATCTTTTATCTTTTATCTTTTAACAATTTCTTCCTTTATCTAAATAATATTTGTATTATTATTATTATTATTATTATTATTATTATTATTATTATTATTATTATTATAATTAAGAAAACCCTTGAAACTCGTAAAAAGGAAGTAATTAAATATTTCATCTTTTTGTCTTAGTTTTTCAAGCATCAATTTTCACTCATCCTTTTAATATTTCGTATTATTTATTTTTGTCTCTTCTTCTTCTTCTTCTTCTATATTTTTATATAATCATTACTATTTTGTAATTAACGATTAGAATAATTATTAAATAGATTAATTATTGAATAAGATCTAAACATAAATAATAATGTTCCTATAAGATTATCGATGATTCGTATGAAATTGGACATGGAACCGAAATGAAATGTTTTTCGTCGTTGTTAAAATAAAAACAAAACAAAACAAAAAACTAAGAAAAAAATTAATCATCTTTACAATTATGTTTCTGAAAAAAGAGAGAGAGAGAGAGAGATAAAAAGAAAAATTGATATATGTATTAATACGATAAATAATAAATACAATAATTATCTTAATTGATAATAAATTGAAAATAATTTTAAGTATCTCGCAAGAGGATCGAAAACAAATATACCGAAAAAAACAAATATGTCTTCCATTCTTGTCTTGTCTCTTTTTTTTTAAATTTTTCTTTTTCTTTTCTCTTTTTTGTTTTCTTTTTTTCTCTTTTTTTTTTGTTTATTTTTTAACCCAACCCTTCTATACAGCAACGTAGATAAAAAAAAAAACAAAAAAAAAAAGAAGAAGTATTATTAATAATAAGAGCAATAATAAAATATAATTATAAACCATTGTGTTACCCTCTTTTCATCCCTTAGGTTAGTATTAAAATTGCATCCCTAATGAACATAGATTTAAAAACAAAATATATAAAATAGAATATTACCAATGATAATAATATTGCTTCTCTCTTAATCAATCTCTAGTATTTAGGAAAAATAATCAAATAAATAAATAAATAAAACAAGAAAGAGAAAACCAATAAAAAAATTGAAACAACAATATAATATTAATAATATTAATAATATAAAAAAATAAATAAATAAATGCAACGAAGAAGCAGCAGTGTTTTTTCAAGTGTGTGTGTTGTGTTTTGATTACCAATAATAAAAAGTTAAAAAGAAAAAATATAGAAAAAAGAGAGAGAGAGAGAGAAAGAGAGAAGAAGAAAAAAGAAAAATATTAAAAAAAAAAACAAAAAATGAAATGAATGTTCACATAATATTTTGTATTATTGAAAAATAAATGGTCATATTTTAATGGACTAATCTGAATCATTTTGGGTTGCAGCATACCGGAAGATGTACATAGGTGATCAGATACTTGGCTACACCTGTACGATGTGCAGCAAATTCTACAAGATGTGGAGCAACTATTTGAAACACAAATGCGAGCCACCGCAATTCAAGTGTCCACTTTGTCCGTTTGCTGCTTTCAAGGCTTTCATACTTCATGCTCATCAAGCCGAACAACATTTCAAGAGAACATCACCTAACACCTGAGAGGAAACAACCAATAATAATTGATTATTATACAATCGTCTCGAATATATTTGACGTTGAACTGAGTGAATTTGCCTTAAAAAAGAAAAAGAAAAACAAAAACAAAAAAAAAAGCATAAAAAAACAAAACAGAAAAAAACTTTTTTTTTTTTTTACATTTACACACGATACTACTACTACTAGTACTACTGCTATTACTACTACTACTATTACTACTACTATTACATACACACACATACACACGACGAATAAAATCGAGTCGGTCGAACATCGCGTTTTTTTTTGTAGAATAATTTTTTATTAGTGTTTTTCTATTTTCTGTTTTTTTGTTTGTTTGTTTTCGCGTGTTATCAACTATCGTTGGTAAGTACATAATTATCACGAATTGTTTATAAGATTACGTTTTATATTTTGTATTTATATTAATTTCGGATGATATATAAAATATCAATTTATGTTTGTGCAATTATTACATGAGTCAATGAGTATTATAAAAATACATTTTAATTTTTCATTTGTTTCCTTGTTTTCGTTTTGTTTTTACTGTTTTGTTTCTTTTTTTTTTTTTCTTTTGAAATTTATTTTTGAGTCGTGCGAGGCCGTAAAGTTTGATAGTTCCTAGAAAAAAAAAAAATTAAATATATATATATTGAAAAAAGAATATATATTATTATATAAAAAAACAATTCTTTATATAAATAAAACGTCGATGATTCCTGATGGTCACGGCACCACACATAATTAATATTTTTATATTTTCTTTATTTTTTTTTTTAAATTAATACAATTTTTCTGAAACTTTTATCCTACCACCACCACCACTACCACCACCACCCACAACTTATTTATTATGTTTCTTATTGTACGTAAAATTCATTTCATTCGTTAACGAATTAAATCACCTTGTTTTTTTTTTCCATTTACATTCTTCCTTGCTCCATGTATTTTCTATTATATTATTTTTTGTTTTTGTTTTTGCTTGTAAAATGCATATTCGATATTTTTTCATATATAACATATCCATGCAAACACACACATACAACATAAATAAATAAATAAATACATACATACATACATACAATACATACATGCCACGTGTTAAAATGAATGATTTTTCATGTATGTATGCGTAACGCGTAATTAAACTTACACGGAAGAGCATTAAGAAAAAAAAAAAAAAAGAAAAAAAAAGAAAAAACAATTCTGTAGTATTTATAAATGTATGTATTTTCGTAATACTACCACAATAAAGTATCAGTAGTGAACAAATGAAATAATAAAATAAAACTCTCTCTCTCTCTCTCTCTCTCTCTATCTATCTATCTATCTATCTATCTATCTATCTATCTATCTATCTCTGTGTGTATTTGCAGAAACGTTGCTTTAATATTTATTTTTCATAAAAGTTTACTTATTTTAACCACATATTTCTATTTCTTTCACAATGAAGAAAATTCTCTTTTATACTTTAACCCAAATAATTCAATACTCATGGGGTTAATAATAGGATATTTAATATGTATACCTGCTTTCGAAAAATCTAATCAATTTAATCTATTAATTAATTAACAACTGTACCATCCCCTTTTTTCACCTCTCCCCTCCCTCCCCCGTTCCCCTATTTCCAAATTGATTAATGAAACTAAACGTTTTGTCAGACTTGGACGTTTTTTCGCATTGACATTTTATTATAATTATACTATACTGTTTAAAAAATAAATCTAAAAATAATGATTGTCAGAAATGCATTTGCAATACTTTTTGTTTTCTTATTATCAATGATATTTTTTATTGTTAAATTTTTTAAAATGTATAATTATTTTGTAAACAAAAAAGCATCAGAGAGAAATGGTGATTTTGAAAAATTGTAGCACCAGGAAGAAAACAAAAATAGACAAGAAAGAAAGAGATAAAAAGAGAGAAAGGTATGAATATTAAAAAATAAAATAAAATAACATAAAATAAAATAAAATAAATCCTTTAAAAAAAATCCAACTAATAAAAAGGTTAGAAATAAAAAAATTATTCGAGTATATAGATTTGGTTATCATATTGTTTTTTTTTTTCTTTTATTTTTCCTTTATTGACTATTAACGAAACCACTTTGTTTGATTTTTTCTTTTACAGATTTGTCATCAATGTCTACAAAGCACACCTGTAATACCTGCGGAAACGAATACATTTATTTTAGTTCATTGATACGACACATTAGAGATGAATGCGGACAAGAACCTAAATATCGGTGTCCACATTGTTCGAAAAAAACTAAACTCCGTTGCAACTTGTTGAAACATATTAGAAAGAAACACATTTTTTACAAATGAAAGGAAAAATAAAAAATTGTGTTGTTTATGTTTTTTCTTAAATCTTTTTCTTTTTTAACTCCATTTTCTTTTATATCTTGAAATATTTATTACTGTTTTATACATTTGTAATAAAACAACAACATTTTTTCCATCCTTTTTTTATAATTAACATATAAGAAAAGAAACACAGAAAAACATATTACAAAGAAACATACATTTACTTTATATATATATATATATATATATATTTAATATATAAACTTTGTATGATATATTTAGTTATAGGAAAACAAAAAGAAAAAAAAACAATATGAAACTTATTAAAGTATTAATTACTTTTATTCCATTGTTATTACTATTATTATTTTATTGTTTTTTTTTTTTTTTTTTTTTTA